GTGGTGGTGGTGGTGGTGGTGGTGGTGGTGATGGTGGTGGTGATGATGATGTGGCGGTGGTGATGGTGGTGGTGTATGGTCAATGCAACCGTGCGTTAGCTCGGAAACGCGGCAGAAGGAGGGAAGGAGGAGTAAAAACCGGCCCTTATTCGCTTATTTGGACTCGGAGGAAATTCGAATAAGGAGGGAAATTGAGAAAAACCGGCCCTTATTCGCTTATTTGGACTCGGAGGAAATTCGAATAAGGAGGGAAATTGAGAAAAACCGGCCCTTATTCGCTTATTTGGACTCGGGAGAACGAATTTATTATGGTTGCAACGCATTCTTCTACGTACTATTAACTGCGTGCACGCTACGCCCTCGAGGGACGAAATCCGTGCGTGCACAGCCCTGCTAGACATTGGGAATCTCGCGAGGCGGATGACGTGCAATGTTTCTGTCTACTGTCCATGACGCCATCTATGTTTTATAGTGTCCATTAGTGACGAGTGTCGCTCCCATCGGTAAAGTTGTTGAAGTGTAGGAGAAAGATCGAAACTTTGGCACTGTACCAAAGCAAAAGAGGCCAAAGCGAAAAAAAGCCAAGGCAACTATATACCTATACTTGTGCGTTCACGCAGCGCGCCTCTTTTTTTACCCACTTGCAAAAAGATGTTGCAATCGCACCAAACGGCGTTCGTTATACCGAAGCTGTCAGTCAGTACGTTTCCAGCCGAACTTATCGATTTAGGAACGCGAGAACTACGGAGCTTACTTAGTCGCATGGGTTCAGTGATTCTCTGCCTCCACCACCTGGCGCAGCAGCGCAGTGGTAATATCTGCGCAATTAGGTTCTACTGCTCCCTCCAATCAGTAGGCGCAGTATCCGTGAAATCGCTAAGATTTTCCACCGCGCCCTCCTGCTTGCTAAGTTGTGTACGGCTTTAGATTTCGTCCTCCGCGCGCTGGCGAAGGAAGCTCTGCGTGGAGTCCGTCCATAGGTTGATTCACGCGAGTAAACTTAAATTACGTCTTTACCTTGCAGATGTGTGGCACGCCAGTTGTGCAGACTTCTGATTTAGCTTATCAAGTGGCCCTGCTCAACTGGGAAGGCTGGTTTTCAGTTTCATTTCTTTGCTACGTTGTTATGTTGTATAATATATATATATATATATATATATATATATATATATATATATATATATGTATACCATACATCCATACATCCATACACACATACATACATACATACCTACATAACGTACCGACGTACGTACCGTCCGCACGGCAACGCACGCCACGCAACGCACGTCACGCACGCACGCACCACATACATACATACATACAACTCATCATACAACATACAAATACATACATACATACATACATTACATAATACATACATACATACAAATAGTACATCAACATACATACATACATAATATACATACATACATACATACATACATACATCCATAACATAACATACATAGCATACAATACCATACAAATATCATACATACATACATACATACATACATACATACAACATACATACAATACATACAACATACATACATACAACATAACATACATACATTACATAACATAATACATACATCATACACTACATAATAAGCATACATACATACAAATACATACATAACATACATACATACATACATACATACATACATACATACATACATACATACATACATACATACATACATACATACATACATACATACATACATACATACATACATACATACATATATACACGTACGTACGTACGTTCGTCCGTCCGTCCGCCCGTACGTCCGTCCTTCCGTCCGTCCGTCCATCCATCCATCCATCCATCCATCCATCCATCTATACATCCATACATCCATACATCCATCCATCCATCCATCCATTCATCCATCCGTCTATCCAGCTATCCATTCAGCCATCCATCCATCCATTCATACAATGCATATATTACTCATTATAAGGAAACATGATTAACGCAATAACGCAATAACACAATAACACAATAACGCAATAACGTAATTACCAATGTTGATCCAAACACATTCTGTTGCCACATCATCCTCACATATACAATAACGATCTTAGACACGACAGATGCATTTCCATTCCACCTATAAACATCGAATAGATCACAACAATAGCCCACAATAGAACATTTTAGATTGAGATAATGGATAGGTAATAGAAAAGATGGATAATAAAAAAATTTTAAATTAAATAGAAATAGAAACTTTTCTATTATGGAATCTTGATAACATTCGCCTACACCGCACGAGATTAACAAGCGTGTGTACTCTCAACCCTTCGAATACGCGCACCAGGATGAGTCATGCGAGTCAGGATAAGTACACCAGCCACACGCTTACCTTCTCGGCAATGAATGCGGGAAACCATAGGAGCGTTGACTATCCGCAACCCTAGTGCCAAACGCACAGCCGGTTTACATGTCTTCTATAACGCCATGTTTGATGGCGAGACGTATATATATGAACGGTATCTGATTAATGGGCGCGCGATAGAAGCCATATACGATGTACATTTATACTAATGCACACTCTGACTCATCCTTGTCTGTCGCCCCTCACACGTACGCCCGAGAAGATTGCTAAGGGTGGGAGAGAGGAGGCCAAGATTTGGAGACACGTTGAAAGATGGTTTTTGGAATACGTTCAAAAGAAATAAATAATATTCGTGATGATTATTTACGGTCGTTGGTTTTAATTTTGTTCGACAATCCGGTGGGTTCATTTACTCCTATTATATTTTGCGTTTGTTTTGAGGTTATGTAGATAGATTAGGTTTATTATTTAATTTTGTTTTGCAATATAAGGAGGGGAGCTGTCTCATCGTTTTCCTACCAGATATTATGCATACTCTGTACACACACGCACACACACACACACACACACACACACACACACACACACACACACACACACACACACACACACACACACACACACACACACACACACACACACACACACACACACACACACACACCACACACACACA